TACAGAATATTGATACAACGGCCCCGACCCGACCCTAGATTAAAATTTTTTTTTTGACCCGACCCGACCCGAGATTAAAAAATTTTTTTCTGACCCGACCCGACCCGACCCGAGAAGAACTCCTTTTTTCGTAATCCGACCCGACCCGACCCGACCCGACCCGACCCGAGGTCTGACCCGACCCGAGTCGGACACTGGTGCAGATCAACAGTAACTATTAGTTTTAGAGAAGATAGTGAGCTACTGGATTACTACTACGCAGCACTTTATACTGCAAGTTAGTTGAAAGACACAGACATTCTTTCTTCTTACTGGCCAAAGAACTAATCAAGAATTTAAATGTTTAAATTAAAATTGAAGAAAAACAGATTTTACGACTATCGTGAGTACCATCGATTAAAAGTCAAATAATCTAATGACAATAGTGCTAATTGAATCTCTTTTTTAATCAGACTGAATTCAAATTACAATCATATATTTTTTTTTTACATAGGTTGTCTAGTTTTTTATCAGCCAGTTCTCAACCATCATTTTCAGAGGTATAATTCATGAAAAAACTACTCGAACTGATTCTCGTCGTTTGAGCTCACAATAGGTCTTGGTAAGACTAGAAAATTTCTAAAAGGACTCGTGTCCGTGAGTCTAGAAACCCCTGTTACTAAATTTTTGATCCAACATGAGATATTGATCGAAAAATTAAATAACGGAATTTCGACCTGAAACTTAGCTCACAGATAGATCTGATGTTTTGGGAAATATCTCGAAAGTTTCAACGGAAAAAAAACTTTCTTTATCAAGATATTAAATTTCCAAAAACTGATCGTTTACCATAAAAATTGAGTTCAGTTGAAGATTCAATATCTCGATAAAGAAACGTTATTTTTGTCGGAAACCTTCAGAATATTCTACTGGTCATCCGGCCTGCTTATGGACAAAATTTCAGATCGAAATACTGAAAGCTAAATCAAAATTTTAGTAAAACAGTTATAACTCAAGTTCATATGCCCATGAGCACAAGACCTTGTAGACTTTTTCAATGCTGAAGACAGAAGAGCGCTGTGTGAATAATTTTCAAAAGCAGAGAGGATTGTGTGGACGAATTCCAGAATATTTAAAGTACATGAATAAAGTTCGCTTCTTTTATTTCGAATGCCTATTCAAATAAAAATCTTCATTAAATGTAGACGTTTGCTTCCTAATCTTTAGAGCTAAAAGAATTTGATTTATAAATGATTACAAGTAATCACAAATTTCAATAAACTATTTCTCAATCGATTTGTATTCTGTTTTAGATCAATGAATTTGTGTTTTTATGATTGAATCATCTAAATGTTTACCTTGGATGTGTTTGATTATGTTCATCAAAATGTTCACATTCATATTTATATAACATATCACTACGAAGAAACCATGATTCAATATCAACAAATTCATGTGCATCATGTTGTTTTGATGATGATGTATGTTCTAAGAAATGAAACTATACAAAAAATGAATTTAGGAAATATACTCTTACCATCATTATCATCTTCGTCATCAAGCGAAAAAACTGATGCTGGAGTTTTTTGTCGATAAAGTTTATCAACTTTATCTTCTTTACTAACATGCCTGTTTATCAAAAGAGAATAAATAAATGAATCAAAAAAAATCATATTAAATAATGAACCTGGTTACTGGATGAGTTGATTCCGTTAATGATGTATGAGCTATATAATCTTTAACTTTATCTCTTACTTCCAACGATTTCGTTTTTACAGCACTTGATATCATATTAAAAAGTGCAGTCGTCTAACAAAGCAAAACAAACGTTTTTCTATATTGTTTTATACATTCACCTTTTGAATTTTACTTGTGTATTAATAACAGGTAATTTTTCTACTATATTATGCTTAATTGTCGATCCAATAGATCCTTCATCATGTTTTGTTGTATTTTGTTTTGCTTTAGTTATCATTGATGGATCTTCGATTGCTTTAGTAAGAACTATTTAAATAGAATATAATGAAAGAAAAAAAAAGATGATCATAGAGATCATACCTCTATAACCACCGGACGCAATGCTAACATATTTTATATTTCGTCGAAGAAAATAAGAAACAACCATGCGAACATATTTATCTTCTTCATCACGACCAGAACCCATAAAACATAAATGTTCACCTCCTGCGGTTGATCCTAAACAGATGATATAGGTAAAAAATGTTCGTTCATGCATGCATTTCGGAATGATCAAAGATTGGATTGATTCCAGGTTTTTATCCAGATTTTTTAGGGAGCTTCAGCACTAACATTAGATGAAACAATGATTGGTTCGAATACAGAACAAACAGTTTGCTATATGCAACGAAGCAATCTGTAGTAGAAAAATAAAAGTCAGGGTTTATTGATCGATGATCCAGTTGAGCTTTTTAACGTTAAAGATGCAAATTTCATTTTCTGTTAAGCCAAATAAGACTTTAATATTGAATATACTTAGGGCATACCAAAAGTAGCGAGAGTGACACTTTAATACCGTATAGTAAACTTAAAGAAACTTTCTTTCTATATAGTCTGATAGAGAAAAAAAAGCTCTATCTTTCTATGCTATTTGATCATACTTCAACTAATATCATAATAATAAAATTTCAATAAGATCTGTTTTTCTATCATATGTGACGGTTATACTAATGCCTATTCAGTGAATACTTTTT